AAATAAAGTTAGTAAAACTATTTCAAATATTATACTAGGAATTTTGGTCTTAATGCATTTCTATATAGAAAATTGCCTATGAAGGGAACATTTCAATGTAATTTTACTAATTATGAGTAATTCTTAAAAAAACAGGCCATGATATTTAATAATTGAACCAATTATAATATTTAAGTTAGCAGAAGCTGCAAATACACAATATATATGAAATTTTAAAATCAACGCTAATATTTCATAAATGTAAATGTAACAAAATAATTACGTAAAACAGATATAATAAATCTGTTTTTATTAGCAATAATTTTGTAAGCTCAATAATTTAATACTAATTTAATTAGTATACACAGTACACAATACCATAAATGATAAATTTATGGTATTGTGTACTGTGTATACTAATTAAATTAGTATTAAATTATTGATCTTACAAAATTATTGCTAATAAAAACAGATTCATTATATCTGTGTTGATAATTTTTTGAATAAAATACAAAAATTAAAATAGTTTTTTAATATTTAGATAACTCTTAATAAAATTTAACCCTTTCGATTCGGATGCCTAAAATTCATACAAATCTCGGAATTCGCGAGTGGAAAGTGTTAATATTGATCTAATTTGGTTATAAATCAGCAATTCTCAGCTATTTTTGCCTTAAAACATAATGTCATTCACCTAAAGTTGTACATATTTCATTTTAGTATATTAATCTTCTTATCATATATTCCTTAGAATATTTACATAGATATTCGAAGTATCGCAATAATGTAAGATAAAGTCAAAATGACTAACGACTATATGAATCAGTGAAATTTTCTTCGCTGCGGTAATTTGTAAAAAACTGTTTAGATATTGCAGGATAGTGTTCCATCACATTCAATTTAATATGATTTTTATTTTTCAAAACTTTTAATTGTTTCAAAATTTTCGATGCTATTCGAGCGCGATGCTGGATGTGCCAAGTGTGCGTGTGCGCGGTTTCGCAGGACGCGTTGCCATTTTCAACATCAAGATGATGGAAATTATGAATCGTCGCCAGTAATTTCGTTTTAAACGTAGGAAACTCGCTGGGGACTGGACACTTTAACGTGATTATGACTGATATAACTAAACAATTCTCCATGTAACATTTAGATTCTTATATCCATACAATTAAGAGTTGTATGTATGTAGGCTACGGAAATTTATAAACGTCATCAGTTATTGTATCTACCACTTCAGTGAATATTAAAACTTGATTCAAATGATCCAAACTAAGTGATTCTCCCAAACAGATCTATGAATCAATCAATATAGATATTTAATTCACTTATTGTTAGTGTTAGCAAAATTTATAAACACACAATATATTTGAAATTTTACCACAAGTATTCTAGTCTAGAAGTTTAATAAGTTGCATTAATAATTTACTACCAAACTACCAAAAGATGGCACATTCACTGCTGAGCACGCATATGTTGCGTGAGACCTTTAACAGTACCACACGCTCAAAGCACTAGGCGCGTCGCCTTCCTTGCACTTAAGAGTAGTGTTTTTATGAAATATCAATTTTAAATAGAACGTTTGTGCTGTAATTATTTCTATCGTATATTTGTTATATTTTTTGTAAAACTCATATTTATTAAATTTTTAACTAATATATTCAGAACTAATATGTTTTAATTATTATGTTCAGATATGGTTTTATTTATTATTAAATAAATAAAAAGGTTTAGCACAGAGAAATATATAAGTAACACAAGGTTAGCAGTGAATGTGTTAATTAACCACGATTTATAAAGTTATTAAAACGAGTCGTATTTAAAACATATAACATTTATATAAATAGATTTTAATGTGGTAATAACTTAACTTCAAATTAGAGTTGTTGACAAATAATCCATTTTAATATTTAATTTGATTTCAAGAATTCAAAATGTTGCGTTAGATTAAAAGTAGTTTAATTATAATTCCCTTTATCAAAAAACGCTTCAGATATAATTATAAAAACATTATGTTATTCAATTCAATTTAATGAATATTCTATAATTAATTTTTCATAGAAACTGTATAAATGGTCTGGTTCACTCATTATTCTTACAGTAGTTATTATCATTTATTTAAATATATTTGGTATATTTAAAAGTACAAAATTTTATAAGAAAATAATTTAAAGTTTTCTTTTCAAATTCACAATACCTTATTCTAAAATTTAATTCGTGCATATAAAACTAAATAATAGCCTGCGCTGGCTAGTTTTCTAATCAACCAAGTTGGTTAAAAAAATCTTTTCGTAAAAAATACTTGGTTGATTTTGAAAATTCAGAAATCGTTATATATTCATTGGGAAACATGCTGATTAATTTTTGATATAAAGGGCACTCAATTTCTTCATTATATTCATTTTGTTCCTTATCTTTAAGGAATAACATCCGCGCGACGATCCGGGCGCTAATGTACCGGGTCGTTGAGCCGCTAGACCAAAGTGTCGTAGAAACCAGGACAATTTAATTGGGATTAATATTTTGGATCTTTCATAACTAAATCAGCAACATCAAATATCTCTACGTTTGAGCAACAGTCTAGTAATTTAGAAACGTAGCATAAATAAAACCTAATAATTCAAAATTTTGCATGTAGCCCGATGTTTACTGTAGCTGATAAGATCCATATCGAACACTGGCATCGTGAGAGTGTAGTCATTAGTCGTTGAGCTCTTCGTTACCTTACAGAAAAACTATCAAATATGGATCTGATTTTCCAATGTCGTTTTCGGTTTTAAATCCAATCCTTTTATAACATACAGACCTGCGCATAGTGGTACAGGCTCGTTGTTTTTAGAATTACATTACAATTTTATACTCTAAAACATAAAAAACTTAGTTTTTGTAATAAAACATCCAAATATTTAACTGTTTTTCCATAATTTTAACATTTCGATTTTTTTTTGTAAATTTCAGTTAATTAATCTATTTCTCATAATTAACAGTTAGACATAATTTTTGATCCGCGTTTTTCTTAAAAATTTTAGTCTCATGAAAATAACTTGAAGTTATAATATTTGGAAAAATTAATCCTAGTTAAATAGGCAAAAAAAATATTTAAGAAAATTTACTGACATGTTTCAGTATTTTTGTGCAAATTGCCCCAAGGTAAAATTTTACTTACCACAATTGTTATTAATTAAAGGCTTATTTATTAGCTTTATTTAATGGTAAAATTGTTAAAAATGTTTATCAATGAACTTCTGCTTGTAGTTGGTGAGAAGGTTTATGCGAAAGTCTGTATCTCTCTATAATTTATCTATTTACTTACATGACTTACCTGTAAGGAATCACATGAAATAATACAACTACTTCTCGTGTGACTTAAAAACATTATTTTAACATATGCCCAAAATATAAAATCGATTCTATCTATCATCATCTATCGAATCATGACCATTATTTATTGCCCATAAGTAGTTCGATAGACACAATAGACCGATGAGCATTTCACATTCGCCTTTCTACATGTGCAGCACATGATTCGATGATAAAGAATAGAAAGTTCTTCGAGTCGTTCTATATTTAGAATGTAATTAATCACGTTGTATATGTGTTCCTTCAATCCATTCATCTTGAATGAGAAATTGATATAATCTGTAAGACCGTCGGCCACTTGGTAATTACCTTGATTTTCTCCTGGGCCTATCTATACTACTAGTATGCTGAATCCGCATACGCATCGGGAATTATAATTTAGGAAACCTGAACATATAAAACACTGCTGGTGATTTTTTTAATGTATTTTTTGCTCAGGTTTCCATTGGCATGTACTTTTATTGAGATGGCGGTTTGAAAATATAGGATAATTTATTCACAGGTTTCGTGTTCGTATCACGTGAACTCGAGTATCTTAGGGCAAATTTTTGTGTCCTTTTATTTTGTAAATGAATATGTATAAGATTTATTTATAACATTTTTTAAATTTTTTGAATAATTTCTTAAAGGTTGATATCACTATTTTTTGCATTTCCTCTTGCATGTATTAACATAAATCCAAAATTTAGTAAATTAAATGTGTAAAAATAAAGTAGGTTAGGGCGGGGAACAAAAATTCAATTTGACTTTGAGCAATTATTTTGTGAAAACAAAACCAATTATATCACAACAAAAATACATATCAAACAAACAACTATCTGACTATGTTCAGTAAAACCCTCAGCTAACATCATTGTAGAAATGTGTTTTTGCTGTTTTCAAAAATTTGTCACCTGGCCTTTTTTACCCCATTACCCCACGGAGATAAGTGTGTATAACCTTGATCTGATATTTCAGCAGAAGTATTTATCAGCGAGTTCAATAAATATTTATTTAATTAGTTTTGTGAAATTGTTTTCTTTAACCTAACTTACTTTTTTATTTACTATTTTTTATTGTTTACACTTTTGTTGGGTAAAGGTTCAGTTGGTTTTTTCTACCCTATCCACGTGTAAGCCTTTACAGAGTTTATATAAGAAAAACTATTGAATCTAACTTACAACTAACAATACATCTTATAAAACCATTAGATTTCGTATGCTTAAAAATTATATTAAGGCCTTGTAAGAATCAAGGTGATGGCTTGTTATACACCTTTTTCCCTCTCCTTTCAAATATTATTGTTAAAAAACCTTACTTGTTTTCGAGATATTGCTGGCGCACCTTTGTACCCGCGAACCTTCAAGTCTACTTATGATAAATTAAGCATTAAAACGTAATATTCTAATAATAATAATCTTTTTTTATCTCAAATTATCATTTTTTATTATATGTTATATTATTAATTATATGTTTGCAACGGCTAGATTTTGTATTATTAACCAATGGGAAATGTGCATTTTCAAAGTACTCGTAAACCTGCCAAAAATGTTTATAAATGAGTTTTTATATTTTTATATATTTATTATTCGTTGTTATTTTCCTTTTGAATAGATTTAATTGTATATTTAAAATATGATTCATTTTATTATTTATTATTACATTTTATTCTTTATTTTTAGGCTGTATGGCGCTTTTTTTACTGACGAGGAGTTTAAACTGAGGATCGAAACGTAAGCGCTAATTAATATTTTTTTTCGAGATTACATGATTATGTTTTATTACTATAAATATTTGACAAAATTTTGAACTATCAATAACACGCTGAAAAAAAATCAAATCATTATCTGTTATATTTTAAATATATTTTATACGCACGTAAATTCGTAATATACCTACGACATTTCACACGTAAATATATTATCTACGTACAAAAACTTATTTTAACGATGCACAAGCTTTTTATTTGTATTTTAAAATATATATATATATATATATATATATATTTATTTATTTATTTGAACATTTATAGGCATATTCTAGGATAGAATAGCTTTTTATCTAACAAATAGTTGACCGTAAGTTAATACAGTAATCAGAGGTCAAAGGATGCGCGATTTTGGATACATTTAGGTATAAATATGTATACATAATTTGGTAATGCATACTTGACAAATTAAGGCAATTATTTCTTAGTTTATGATGAGAAAGCATTTAATCAAAAAAACTTTTTAAATTAATTCTATTTAATTCTAAATCAGTGATCAGAATACCTGAACATTGAATCCGTTCAACGGAATAACAAAACAATAACGCTATTGATATTGCATGCGTGCGTGTGATATTTTTTTATCGTCCATGGCATTGAATTAAAAAAGCTTTGGTTAATTTATTCAAGTTCGAACTACTCGGTGAAAGATAACAAATAAAAAAAGCTGACACATGTAAGTAAGTCGTTGGATCTCCTTCTTACTTACGTTCAGACGCCTCTGGCTTACGTGGAAGAAACACAAAAACTCGACTAACAGTTTTATGTTTGAAATAATCAAGTACTTTATAATTTATATAACATCATTAAAATCTGCTATTGCCATTGGTGAATTAATTTAAGCCCATCGGTGTACTATATTTCTTTCAATTTAATGGTGTGCAAATGTCCCATTTAACTTTTAGTAATTATACTGCTTGAACTGAATGAACTACAACATGACAACATATTATATAACTGAACTATGTTCAGTAAAATTTACAGTTAACTCCTAATTATAGAGATGTTTTTTACTATTTTTCTGAAATGTGTCATCCATCTCTTTTTGCCCCATGAGCTGGGTAAGAAGAACAGCCAGGCGGAGCAAAAGGATCCAACAGATCTTTTATAATTTTAAAGGGATTTTATAAAATAATATGTACATTATTTAGCCATTGTGAAATACAAATTTTATGGTAATATTTTTTGCAACGATTTTATTGTATATAACCTTGATCTGGTAGTTTAAAAGTAAGATTTATCAACAGAGATCAAATAACTATTTATTTAATTTACCTCTTGTAAAATAGCTTTTTAACTTCCCGTAGGGTAAGTTATTGTAATGGGCCGAAAATCGGAATTGAAAATTTTTACATTTCTCGACGTTTTGAAGGTTTCTGAACGTTTTGGCATACCTCAGAAAAAATGGATGTGTGTGTGTGTGTGTATGTATGTATGGATACAAATTTTCGCCCACGTTTTCGGGCGTACGGATCAACCGATTTGAATGGTTTAAAAAACATTCGATTCCTATTAATAAGGAGAAGAGCTGATTAGTTTTTGGCAAAGACAGGTCCAGCAGTTACGGAGATAAGGAGCAAAGAGTGCAGAAAATAGAAATCGAGTTTTTGAGAGAACGGAGCATCCGATTTGAATGATCTAAAAAACATTCAATTAGTAATGATTGGGAGAAGGGGTTATTAGTTTTTCGCAAAGGCAGGCCCAGCCATTACGGAGATACAGAGCTAAATGTACAAAAAATGGCAGTTTTTGAGGGAACTAAGCGTCCGATTCAATTGATTCAAAGAACTTTCTGCTTGTCTTAACAAAATAATTGATTTTGGAAAAAAAAAATTTTGTACAATTTTTTTTTTTTTTTTTTTTTTAATTTTTTGTATATCGAAAATAATTCAGATTTTATTTTTAATTCTGACTATAGTTCTAATATACTTTAAACAAATAATTTCAACTCTGCAATTCAGTTTATATAATTCTTATAAATATTAGACAATGTTACAATATTTATAATAATCTATTTGAAAACATTCAATATTCCTCGAACATTTCGTTACGGTACGGGAAGTTCCAGCAATTTGCCTTAAGGCACGATGACACCCACCCCACTAGTTTTTAATTCATTTATTTTTATTCATTATTAACTTCCCGTAGGGCAAGTTATAGTAATCGCAAAAAAATCGAAAATGAAAATTTTTATATATCATTACGTTTCAGAGGTTACTGAACATTTTGGCATACCTTAGAAAAAATGGATGTATGTGTGTGTGTGTGTATGTATGTATGTATGTATGTATGTATGTATGTATGTATGTATGTACGTGTGTGTATGTATGTGCGGATACAAATTTTTGTCGACGATTTCGGGAACACGGATCAACCAATTTGAATAATTCAAAAAACATTCGATTCGTATTGATAAGGAGACGTGCTGATTAGTTTTTGGCGAAGGCAGGTCTAGCCGTTCCGAAGATACGAGGCAAAAAGTGCCAAAAACGGTACCTCCGTTTTTAAGAGAACGGAGCGTCCGATTTTAATAATTCAAAAAACATTTTACTTGTATTGACAAGATAAAGATTTGATCAAATTTTTATAAGGGTAGGTTTAGCGGTTTCGGAGATATAACGAAAAAAATAAAAAAAAATGCCATTTGGCGGTTAAAAATGATCATTAGACATATGCACATCAAATTATCAGATATTTCATTGAGATTTTAACAATAAGTATAATTTTTTTTTACATTTCTATGGGTTCCGTACCAATGCTTATGCGTTAGACAGCGGCGCGGCACTTGCGAGCTTTGACATGTCGTCTCTATGCAGTTCAAGCAGTGCGATTGCTTTGAAAAAAAGTTCAGAATTTCCAAAATATGTCAAAATGAAGAAAACGTTTTTTTCAAAATTTTTTTCTGTTTTCAAAAAAAAATTTTTTTTCACAAAAAAATTTTTTTTTTTTCAAATAAATTTTTTTTTTTCAAAAAAAAGTAATTTTTTGTCAAATTTATAGTTTCTCAAAAATCTATTTTTTTCGAAGTAAAATTTTTTCAAAAATAATCGTTTTTAAAAAAATAATAATTTTTGGTACGGAAAGTTCCAGCAATTCGCCTTAAGGCACGATGCCCTAATTGCCTTAAGACAGAATTCCACTTACAGCTAGTTTCTTATTGTTTACACATTACAATATAAAGGTTTAGTTACTTTATTGTTTTATTGAAAGATTGTTAGACATATGCACATCTAATTTTCAGATTTTTCATAGAGATTTAAATAATAAGTACAATTTTTGTTTACATTTCTATGGATTCCGTACCAATGTTTATACGTTAAACTGCAATATGGCGCTTACGCGCTTTGACATTTTGTCTCTCCGCAGTCATCGCAGCGCGATTGCTTTGAAAAAGGTTCAAATTATTTTAAAAAAATTTGAAAAAAAATTAATAAAAAGTCAAATTTCCTAAAAAAAATTTAAAGTTCTTAAGAACCTATTTTTTTTTTCAAAGTTTTCAAAAAAATTTTTTTTTAATTTTTAATTTTTAGTACGAAAAGTTCAATAAATTTGACTTAAGGCACGATGACTTGCACTACTAGTATTTTTCTTGTTTTTGAGATAATGATAGGGGACCTTTTTATCCGCGGATCTTTAAGCCCCGCCATATCCTATGCGCAATTAATTAACTTCCCGTAGGGTAAGTTATAGTAATCGCAAAAAAATCGAAAATAATTTTTTTTATATATCTTTACGTTTCAAAACTTTCTGAACATTTTGGCATACCGTATAAAAAATGGATGTATGTGTGTGTATGTGCGTGTATGTGTGTGTGTGCGGATACAAATTTTCGTCGAAGATTTCGGGAACACGGATGAAGCGATTTGAATAATTCAAAAAACATTCGATTCGCATTGACTCAGTTTTTAAGAGAACGGAGCGTCCGATTTGAATAATTCAAAAACCATTTTACTTGTATTGACAAGATGAAGAACTGATCAAATTTTCATGAAGGCAGGTCTAGCGGTTTCGAAGATCTAGTAAAAAAAGTAAAAGACAATGCCATTTGGCGGTCAATGATCATTAGACATATGCACATCAAATTACCAGAAATTTTATAGAGATTTTAACAATATTAATAAATTTTGTTTACAATCCTATGGGTTCCGTATCAATGTTTATCCGTTGGACGGCGACGCGGCGCTTACGCGCTTCGATATTTTGTCTCTACGCAGTTAAAGCAGTACGATTGCTTTGAAAAAAGTTCAGAATTTCCAAAATACTTCAAAATAAATTTTTCTTCAAAAAGTCTATTTTTTTCAAAAAAGTTTATCTTTCAGAGTTATTTTTTTCAGAGTAATTTTTTTTTCAAAAATGTTTATATTTAAAAAAAAAAAAATTGGTACGGGAAGTTCCAGCAATTTGCCTTAAGGCATGATGCCATGCGCCCCACTAGTTTATCCTTCTCTTAATTCTGCAAAAAACATTACTATTTGGTACAATATAAATTTGAATACTGGAAATAATATATAGATAGCCATATTTCCAAGAGAATTTAGTCTTTTTAGCATTCACGCATCAATAGAAAAGTCATCATTATTACAGTAAATGCAATAATAAAATTCATCACCTAGAGATAGGACAACAGTTTGAGAAGCCATAACTATAAAGGAATATAAAATCAAGCATCATCTGATAGTTTCGAGAGCCTTCGCCCCAGGTTCACGTTGTACATTCGTAGTATTTCGGTAGATATCAATTTTGAAAATACCGGTCATTCAGAAATGCCCAACGGTCGTCGATTTGTAAGAAGAGAATCAAGCAGCAAAGGATTGAATATGTTGGCTAGTAGGACGCTGAGCGGAGGGAGGTGAGCCGATACCCGCGCGAAGGCAGTTTATAACATCACGTGGAATGCGGTCCGAGAAGACGATCCGGTCTTGCGCGACCGCGCCGTCTCCCGTAACCCTTCCCTCGCTCCAGTGC